GGTATTTATTGACCGGACTTAGAAGAATTTTTAAGTGTTAAGGCATTTACACATGGTTTAAATGCTGGTTGTTAGTTTTTTTGGTGCTATCCTCATCTTTCTTTATCTACTCCTCAATTAAAATTTAATGGTCGAGTAAGAAAACACCTTTAATCTGCCCTTTTTTTAGTCTTGTATTAGTCAGCCCTCATCTCAGCCCTGTATAGGAAAAAAAATATTACCCCTTTATGAAAATAATCTGAATCCTAATAATAATTGCCCTTGCTTACTGATTTTATCAGAAAAAATTAGTCAACTAATCTTTTTTTCTGTTTTACCATCTCACTGAATTTTTTAATTCTTTTTTCCGCTTTTCTAGCCTAGTTATTTCCTGTTCAAGTTTTTTAACTTTACTTCCTTTGGAGATAATGATCCAAAGTGCTAGTAAAGCAAGAAGAACAAAAATAACAACTCCAATTCATCAGGCACCATGTTGATAAATTGCCATAAACACGAGAAACACACCAAAAGAACCACATCCTAAAAGTGCCTCTCAACTATTTGTTAAGTGCTTCTGCTCATCTTCCTTGTTTTTTTTTTTTTTTTTGTATTTCTTGCTCAACTTTCAGCACTTCCATCTCCAATTTTAAATTAATATTTTCCTGATTAACCATATATTAATATTTTTCTACATATAGATATCAAAACCTAACCAAATATGACTAACCCTAACAATAATAACGAAGACAATATCCACTGAGAAGAATCTACTGCTCATCGGGATAAATTAAAAAATAAAGAACAATCCTTAGCCGCTAAAAAATTAATTGGTGCGGTTAATTTAGCCATAAAAGGTTATAACAACAGCATTGGATCAGTAGCCAAATTGTGTGGTGCTGATATCAAGATTAAAGAAATGGATGTTAATGCAACATTGGAAGAAATTATGTCCGGTGGAGGACATTCTTTTGCTCTTGGTATTTTAGATGATGTAGTTAAAGGAGTTCGGAGGATTGGTATTCCATTAGTGCAAGCAATTCCTTTTGTTGGAAAAGGTGCTGCCATTCCTCTAACAATTGGACTTGGTACAATAGAACTTGCTATTGACCACTTAAAAGACCTAATGCAAAGTTCAGCCATGAGTGGTCTCGCTGCTGAAATAGGAGACTTAAAAGACGGTCAAAGCAAACTTAATGCTAAGGTCGATGCCCAAGGCAAGTTAATGAACAAGAGAATGGGAGACCTCAAAGCCGACTTACAAGGAGAATTAAAACAACAAGGAGAAAAATTTGAAAAAGAAATCAAGGATTTAGATAAAAAAATAGAAGCAGCCACCGGAGAAAACAAACGAGCCATTGAAGAAGAAAAAAAACAAAGACAAGCCCAATATCAAGAACTAAAAAGTTCAATTCAGGAAGTAACCGACAATCTCAACCGAGTAGAAAACCAACTAACCAATGCCCTTAACGATTTCAAGTCTGAGGTCAACGAACGTTTCGAACAACAAGAACGGAAAATCTTAGAAAATAAACGAAGAATTGAGGAAGAAAAACGAGCCCGAGAAGCCGAAGTTAAAGAAATCAAAGATAAAATCAAAATTAACCAAACTAACTTGGAAAATTTACGAGAGGAAAAAGATGAATTATCAGACAACTTCGACAAATATAAGTCCCAAATCGACCAAAAAACTGCCGAAACCCAACAAACTTTAGAAGATGCCCAGGCTGAATATGAACGGAAAACCAAAATAATTGAAACCCAAATCGAAGATAACCAAGAAACGATTGAGGAATTCAATGAACAGTTAAACAATGTTCAACGAGAGCAAGCCCTCCAAAGAGTCCAACAAGAAGAAATCATCGAAAACTTACAAGAAACCAATGACCTCTTATTTGCTCAACAACGGCAAATGAACTTGATAACCGAGCAAATGGATGATATTCAAGAAGAAGTCCACGAGCGAATGAATAAACTATCTCAAAAGTTAGATGACCGCATTAATGAAACTATCAATCTTGCCCAAGATACTAACCAAAGAATTGATAAACTAACCGAAGATGTAAAAAACATTAAAGAAACCACCGAACAACTTCAGGAACAAATCAAAAAAAACAAGGAAGAAACCGAAAAAGTCAAAAAAGAGGCTAAAATGGCTAATGAAAGACTGGATAATCTCTTAAAACTTCAAGCCCTTGCTGATTACTCATCTGAAACCAGCAAATTAGACAAAATCAAAAAGTCTCTCGAACTAAAAGCCGAAGAAACTAAATTAATCGCTACTTTAAATCTTTTAAAAGAAACTAAAAAACTAATTCCTCCGCAACCTGCCGAAAGAGAATGAAAGGTCGGCGTTGAACAAGGCACCGAACGAGAAATGTCCCAACCAGAAGGAATTCCTCTCAATCCTAATTCTTCCTGAGCCAAAAAATACAGTCCGGAACAACTTCGAGAATGAGGTTGAGATACTCGGTTATTAGGAGAACATGAACAAGCCCCCTTAACTGACCCAGCAAGAAGAAAGGAAGAGCAAGCCGTAAAGAATGAGCAAAATACCGAAGCAGCTGGAGAAGAAAATCAGTCATCAGACCAATTACTTACTGAAATAGAGCAATTGAAATCAGAAACCTTAACCCGATTACAAGAAATTCAGCAAGAAATCAGAGCCGGGTTAGAGGAAATAGAAAGTTCACCAACTAAAACTAATAAACCAGCCAAACCCTCGCAAACTACTGTTTCACAAGTCCTCCAAGCCGAAAGTAAGGTTAAAATCAAACAGAAAGCCCTAGAACGACAAAAGGAGGAAGAAAAGAAAACTAAACAACAAGCCACTGCTCAACCAACCAAGCAAAATCAGAAACAAGTCCAAGTCGAGGAAAAACAAACTAAAAAAGCCGAACAAGCACTCCAACAAGCCCAAGTGGAATTATCCAGTTTAGAAAAAAAACAGGAATTTGAAGAAGCCTTGGAAGAAAAGGAAAAAGAATTAGAGGAAAGCCAAACTGAGGAAATTAACCAGCAATGAACCCAAATCCAAGCTCTTAGTCAACAAGCATTACAAGAAAGTAAAGACCAAGAAAAACCCGAAGAAACCAAAGAAGAAGAACTCCAAAAAAAATTAGAGGAACTAGTTCAACAATTAAAAGAAATGGAAGTATCGGCTGCCGCTAGTCAAAAAACAATGACCTACTTCATGCTCTTTTTGATTATCTTTTTATTAGAATATGTCGTTTATAAAAGAAATGGTTTGCCTGGATTAGTAGTTTTAAATGTCCTCTTAGCAATTGCTTATTATCACCGCGATACTTTAAAAGAATATTCTGAACTATGAGGCAAATATCTTCTAATCATTGGTTGCATCATGGGTAATGTCTTGGCTTACTCAGCCCCTGAACAAGAAAAATATAAATGACCGTGTGTAATTGGTTTTAATTTAGCCATCTTAGCCCTTTATTCTTATACTCTCTATCAAAAATATCAAGAGGAGAAAAAAATCGAAGCCTTTTATCAACAAAAAACTAAGGAAATCCGCCAAGAGCAGAAG